TGTTTACGGTATTGTAGGTGTGGTCTGACTAGTGATCAGAACTCAAAATTCTCATTAATTTGTTATTGCAGTCCCAGTTTAAAAAAATTACTTTGCAGTAGAGTTTGAGAAGAGTAAATGTCACATATGTTTGCAGAAACAAGAAAGTCAGAAATACATCCCATTTTTTTCATAGCCAGAAATTTACATAAAGTACTATGCCATTCTTTCCAACTAGTTTCTCTAAGTGATTATGATTCATGAGCCTCTTCCCATCTGACTAACTGTCTAGTATATCCTTCTGCTGCATTCTTCCTTGCACTTCTCTATTTTTCCCTCTACATTATTTTCTGCAACTGCACCATGTCATAGGGTCATAGAGATATTAAGCACAGAAACAGATCCATTGGTCCAACTTGTCCATGCTGACCAGATATCCTAAATTAATCTAGTCCCATTTGCCAGCATTTGGCCCATATCCCTCTAAACCCTTCCTATTCATTTACTACCCATCCAGATGCCTTTTAAATGTTGTAATGGTACCAGCCTCTACCACTTCCTCTGCTAGGTCATTCCATACATGCACCACCCTGTGTGGAAAAAATTGCCCCTTGGGTCTGTTTTAAATATTTCCCCTTTCACCTAAAATCCATGCCCTCTAGTTTTGGACTCACCCACCCTGGGGAAAAGACCTTGTCTATTTACCTTATCCATGCCCCTCGTGATTACATAAACGTCTATAAGGTTATCTCTCGGCCTCCAACACTCCACAGACAATAGCCTCAGCCTATTCAGCCTCTCCCCATAGCTCAAACCCTCTAACCCTGGCAACATCCTTGTCAATCTTTTCTGAATCCTTTCAACTTTCCTAACATCCTTCCTGTAGCATGGAGACCAGAGTTACCCATGGTATTCCAAAAGTGGCCTATCAATGTCCTCTACAGCAACAACATGCTCTCCTAACTCCTACATTGAATGCACTGACCAATAAAGGCAAGCATACCAAATGCCGCCTTCACTAACCTATCTACCTGCAACTCCACTTTCAAGGAACTATGAACCTGCACTCCAAGGTTTCTTTATTCAGCAACCCTCCCCAAGACCCAACCATTAAGTGTATAAGTCCTGCCCTGATTTGCCTTTCCAAAATGTTGCACCTCACATTTATCCAAGTTAAACTTCTCGGCACATTGGCCCATCCGATCAAGATCCCGTTGTACTCTGAGGTAACCTTCTTTGCTGTCCACTACACCTCCAGTTTTGGTGTCATCTGTGAACTTACTAATCATACCTGCTGTGTTCACATCCAAATCACTTATAGGAATGACAAACAGCAGTGGACCCAGCACATTTCATTTGCTCAACGTTCTCTAGACGATTCCCAAGAAATCTCTACCCTCACAAAGCATCAGTGACTCAAATATCTGAGAGTCCTAGTTTTGTTCTCCCCGTTGAGTAGAAATATTTTCCCTTTGTTTGCCATTTACGCACTTCCATGATTTTAAAATTAAGGCCTTTCTGATCAAGGTAATCACATAGCTTTGCTAGTAGTGCAGCAATATTGTCGTGCTGCACTGATTAGAGAAACAGCATGTGGTTTATGCAGCATTCTATACTAGTTTAGCATATTTCTACTTCTCATTCCTGTACCTCAAAAAAATGGGTCAGTGTTTCATTCTGTTCTTCACTCCTCCACTCTATGTAGACTCCTAAAAGTGTCTACAACAGTGAGTTGTAGCTTAGTTTGAGTTTGCCTCTACAAAAACAATTGCCATTTTCAAGCAAATTTTGTTCTCAGCTCATTGGAAATCCTAGGAACACCAGTGTTCTCAGTAATAATTGACTGCGTGTTGTGGTACTGAACTTAGCATAAACAAACAAAAGACATGGCAGTGCCTACTTGTTTTAATATTTGTTCACAGGAAGTGGGCACTGCAAAATGGACCAGCATTCATTGCCAATCCCTATAGCATTTGAGAAGGTAATGCCCACTCCTTCAGTCGTGAAGACCATGTGGTATTGGTACGCCCACAGTGCTATTAGGAAAGCAGTTCCATGATTTTGACCCAGCGACCTTGAAAGAGCAGTAACCCAGTTCCCATGTCAGGACGTTATGTGGCTTGTAGGTGAAAGTAGGCTGGTGATGTTCCCAAGTATTATCTCTCCTTGTCCTTCTAGGTGGTGGAGCCAGCGGGTTTGGAAGATGCTGTCAGAAAAATGTCTTGGTGATTTGCTGAAATAGGGTTAACAGGCTGAGTGACCTGGAGGAACGGCAGCTAGAAATGGGCAATAAATACTGAGTGAATTTTTAAAAATCTGTTGTTTAATAAAATACGGGTGTTGGCTCAATGTTACACGGGAGAGATGGATGAAATATTTCGCTTTAACTGATTTTTATTTTGTTCTCCATTGTTCATAGATATCTTGTGTTAACTTAGATTTGTCCTACTTTTGCAGGGCTAGTTCCTTAACCACTTCAGATCTCATAGAGTCAGAGAGTTCTATAGCATGGAGAGAGGCCCTTCGGGCCAAACTAGTCCATACTGACCAAAATGTCCATCCATGCTAAGCCCATTTCCCTGCACTTGGCCCGTATCCTTCTAAACCTTTCTTATCCATGTATTTGTCCAAATGCCTTTTAAATGTTGTTAATGTACCCACCTTAACCACTTCCACTGGCAGTGTATTCCATATGCGCACCATCCGCTGTGTTAAAAAAAAAAAAAAGTTGCCCCTCCGGTTCCCATGTATTCTTTCTCCTCTTGGCTTAAACTGATGTCCTCGATTCCCCAACTCTGGGGAAAAAGACGGAGTGCACTTACCCTATCCATGCCTGTCATGATCTCGTACACTTCTATGAGATCCCCCCTCAGTCTCCTACGCTCTAAAGAAAACAGTCCTTGCTTGTCCAACCCCTACCTATAACTCACTCCCTTCAGGCCTGGCAATATCCTTGTAAATTTCTTCTGCACTCTTTCCAGTTTCATAACAGCTTTCCCATAACAAGGTGATCAAAACTGAACACAATACTCCAAGTGTGTCCTCATCAATGTCCTGTACAACTGCAACATAACTTCCCAACTTGTACACTTAATGCCCTAACTGACGAAGGCCAGTGTGCCAAAAGCCTTCTTCACTGCCCTGTCTACCTGTGACTCCACTTCCAGAAACTGTGCACCTGAACTTTATGGTCCCTCTGTTCGACTACACTCCTTAAGGATCTACCATTCACCATGAAACTCCTATCTTGAATTGACTGTCCAAAATGCAACACCTCACACTTATCTATATTAAACTCCATTTGCCTTTTCTTTGCCCATTTCCCCAGTTGATCAAGATCCTGCTGCAATTTCTGATAACCTTCCTCACTGTCCACTATACTGCCAATTTTAATGTCATCTGCAAATTTACTAGTCATGTCTTGTACGTTCTCATCCAAATCATTGATATAGATAACAAACAGCAATGGGCCCAGCACTAGTCACAGGCCTCCAGTCCAACAAGCATCCTTGCACTGTTACTCTCTGCTTCCTACCGTCAAGCCAATTGTGTATCCAATTTGCCAGCTCTCCCTGGATTCTATGCGATCTAGCCTTCCAGGGCAGCCTACCATGTGGAACCTTATCAAAAGCCTTACTGAAATCCATGTGGACTACGTCTACCACCCTGCCTTCATCAGCCTTCCTAGTTACTTCATCAAAGAATTCTAACAAATTTGTGAGGCATGATTTCCCACGCACAAAGCCATGCTGATTACTCCTAATCAAACCCTGTCTTTGTAAATGCATGTATATCTTATCCCTCAGAACTTCCTCAAGTAACTTACCAAACATAGATGTTAGGGCTTACTGGTCTATAATTTCCAGGTTTTTCTTTGCAGCCCTTCTTGAATAAGGGCATAACATTTGCTACCCTCCAGTCTTCCATGACCTCATCCGTGGCTAATGATGGTATGTATCAGCCAGGGATCCCGCAATTTCTTCTTTAGCCTCTTGCAGGATTCTTAGATATATCTGATCAGGACCAGGAGATTTATCCACCTTCATATATTCTAATACTTCCAACACCACCTCTACCATGATATAGACTGACCCCAAGATATCGCCACTAACTTCCCCCAAGTTCCCAAGTCTTCATGTCTTTCTCCACGGTAAACACAAGAAATATTCATTGAGGACCTCACCCATCTTCTGCTGTTCCATGCATCCATGTCCACTTTGGTCCTTGAGGGGTCCTAGTCTGTCTCTCTAGTTATTCTTTTTCTTTTAATATACTTAAAGAATCTCTTTGGATTCCCCCTAATCTTCATCAGCCAAAGCTATCTCATGCCCCCATTTCACCGTCCTGATTTTCTTCTTCAGTAAACTCCTACATCCACTATATACCTCCATCTATATATCCCTTGACCCCAGCTGCCTGTTCCTGAGCCATACCTTCTTTTTTCTGGTCAAAGCCTCAATATCTCTTCTCATCCAGGGTTCCCTACTCCTGCCAACCTTGCCCATCACGCTCACAGGAACATATGGACCTTGAACTCTAGCTATCACACTTTTAAAGGCCTCCCACTTGCCAGAGCTTCCTTTGCCTGCAAACAAACCACTCCAATCAATCACCTGCAAGCTCCTGTCTAATTCCATCAAAATTCGCCTTGCCCCAATTTAGAACTGAAATCTGTAGAACTGCTCAATAAATGCCTGATGTGAGAGGGATTCAACTCTGCATTCTGAAAAGTGTGGGGGGTGTTTTCTTCCCCCGAGTGCTGTAAAAAGACATGTTACAAGTGAGGAACAGAAACAAAGTTGCTGGAAAAACTCAGCAGGTCTCATAAATGTTCTGAGAAAGGGTCACCGGACCTGAAACTTTAACTCTTATATTTTCTTCACAGATGCTGGCAGACCTGCTGAGCTTTTCCAGCAACTTTGTTTTTGTTCCTGATTTACTACATCCGCAGTTCGTTTGGTTTTTTATTTATGTTACAAGTGAGACCTTGTTAACCTGTTGTGAATTTATCCTCCTTACAGTAAGAAGAACATTAAAGAGTGGCCTGACGCCAGAAGAGGCCAAAGCATTGGGTTTACTCACCACCTCGGAGATGCAAGTGTGAGGTGACTGAGCATGAACTGAGGCAGGAGACGCCGCTAATGCCTAGACAAGGCACAGCTAGAAACATCAACTGACAACCAACTGCTGCTCCTGACATCTGGTCATCCCCCCCCGCCCCAAGCTCTGTTCATCATACGATGCTGATGAGAAGCAAGAGCTAGAAAGAGATGTCGTGTATTGGCACTAAAGTTCTGACAGCTTTCTAAAATTTAAAATCAGGATTGTTCAGAAGTATTTATACCTAGGTAAAAGTATTGCTTTTTTGTTTTTTGTTTTCATATCTAATTGAAGTGATGAGGAAAATTTATTGAGTAAGCTGTTGTACGTGATATGTTTACGTTGACTTTACTTGTGGCCTACTTATGTAGCAGGAACATTCACCGTATCAGTGAGAATACTGGGTCTTAAAGAGACAGTGTGCTGATGTTGACAGGCCAACAACCTAGCTGTGTGTTAAAACTTTCTTCTGACAATTGTGTAACTTCCATCCAAAGCTAATTAATTTAAGATGTTTTTATCATCAATCCTTCAATTCTGCAATGTTTTTATTTTATCTTTGTAGGCCTGTTTAGTGATTGCAAAGGATTCCCCCCCGCCCAACCCTACTACTGCCCACTGATGCATGTTAGATATTTCAAAAAAGTTTATTTTATGTATTATGAAATGCTGATAGAGTTGGGCCAGAGAAGGGTCTAAAAGAGGTAACCGATATTGCCTTATTCACTCCGTTTAAGTAATAATGCTAAAAGTGGTGGGATTGTAAAGCACAACATTAAATTGGCCTCTTTCTTAGTAATAGCTTTGCATTTCTCCTTGAAATAGTGTTGCAGTAAAATTTTCTTGACTTCCTTTGGTCAGAGAAGATAAGATAATTGTTTTTGTTGAGTATGTGTCACAGTGGTTCTATACTGGCTGAAGATCAGAACTTTGACCTTAGCTTATATGCCTGTTGGGTGAAGATTTGCCTTGACTGTTCATTATTGAATAGGATATTCCAAGGGCTTTCAGAAAGAATGCATTTAAGACGTTGCTGCATGTAGCATCTGGAGCAGTTCTTCCTCAGACCCTGTGCTGACCATGGCTTCCACTTTGTAGTTAATGGAGTAATGCAGATTCTGGAGTCAGTGTGTAAACTCACCACTCGTTTGCTGCTGGAGGCTCACAGCTCGCCTTAGCATGAAGGGTGTGCATTTTGTCAGAAGCAGAAAGTTTCCAAAGGCACTGGTCTTGCATTATACTAAGCTTTGAATTGTCACATACTTGAGTAATAATGTGTATGTGCATTACATCCAAGAGTGGAAAATGGGTTGTGGATTTGAAACAAAATGACAAACCTTTTGAATTCTGAAATTCAGTAGGCAATCCTTAATGTTACAGTACAGGTGACTGTTCTTCCCTCGACCTGGTTAATAGGAGAGCTAGGCTCCTAAATTGAAAAATGATGAGTTTTGTGCTATGGGGTATGTACTTTGGAGGATTGAAGCCCTTGAGATGGAACAAGCATATTGCCAACTGAGTGAGGAGCAAGTCATGAATCTGTTATTTGTGTAAATTCACTTCAGGTTTGTAAGGTAATTTATTGTCCTTAAGCTAAAGTATTGTTACTGTACGTCTCCAGAGTATAGGATATGTTGAAATGCATTTATGAAAGTGGAAGTGGTTGGATGCATGAAATAGATCACAAGGATCTATTTTTAATGTGACAAGTGAGGATATTCTCCATCATATGGGGACATTATCAATTAAGTTTGGGATCCAAAGTCAAAATGTTTTGTGTTGTGGTTGAATATGTTTTGAAGCTGTTTTTAACTATTTTAAAGGGGTTCTATCCGTTTCAATTCAGTTCAGAATTCAGTGCACCAGTAATTCCTATATACCTGGGCTCAAGCTTGTTTAGATGTGAGTTTATAATTAAATGGGCTGAATTTATTTAATTGGGGTACGTATCAGTTGGGCCCACTTAATCCGGGAGAGACTCCACGCAAGTCTTTTGGCAGCGTTAAAACCCATGTGATTCTGTGGGCTTCTCCGGATTAACTGGAAGCTGCTTGGCTTTTCCTGCAGACAGCCTGGATAACCCTGTCAGATTTGCCAACGCCTCTTTAGTGGTGGTCCATTCTGTGCCTGATCAAGGGACTTGTATTAAAGAAGGGTGGTGGCACTGAAAGTCACCAGCCCCTCCCTACAACCCTGACTTGCATGGTGCCCTCCCTCACCTGTGGCCTATGACGTCCTCACCAACCTGGGGGTCCAGTGAACACATTGTCTCCAGCTGATACTGACTGTATTGTGGGGAGCTGCTGGCTTCTGGCAGGCAGGGCATCCAACATCAGCGTCCTTAATCCCAGGGCAGGCTTAATGGCAGCCATTTACATGTCTGAAGGGCATTTAATAGTGTTGGGCCTTTGCAGGAAACAGCAGGGGTGCCCTGCTGGTTCACTGCTAAGACCCTGATTGGACTAATTAAAGCCCACCCAATGCCCCTATAACTAGTGCTTAAGGGGCAACAATCTTAATACAATATTTATGGAAAGGCGCTATTTATAATTTTCTGTTGAGTTCCTATGAAAAGGTTGAGGCGAAAGAGATGTTTTTTTTAAATAGATAGAAAATTATATATATAAAATGTACACTTAATACCAGAGAGTGTATCAAACTCCAATATAATCAGTGGCAAGTAACATTGTGAAGGGATTCAGACAAGATTCAATTCAATCAAAGGTCACCTGAGCCCCACAATTGTGTTGCTACTTTTTAACCATTGTGTCCCTATGTAACTTTTATTCATTAAACTTGAAAAGTTTCTGAACTATTTTTAACTAATATGCATTGTAGAACCCAGGAATAAATTAACCAGCCCTTGGACCAACGTGGCTGAGCCAAAAAGGTTATTTTATTTGCTGCACTATTTGCTGGTTCTGGCTGTATTATTGTCTTACCAACACATCAAAGATTCCCACTTTCCAGTGTCTGTTCAGAATTGAAAACCTTTAAATCTCCATGTGGTTTCATGGTGGCTGATGCTGATTAATCCACTTCTTTTAAAAGCCTGGGTTCAACCTTACTGAGGAGGAAAGAGTATTACTGGCACTGACTAAATTAAGCATCACTCTAAGTTATTAGTTCATTTAACTGTTCGAATAGAAGAATGTTAAGTAGACTTATTGGTTTCAGGAGCACTGGACTAATATGTGACAAGGCCAAATATCTGGAATCTGTGCCTGATTCTAAACACAGACCACTTCCAAGGTATAAGGAAATTAAATTGGTGAATTGCTACTTGAATTGGGACTCAGTAAAGGAAAGTCTATATGAGCACTTCCTTTTCAGTGTTCCTTTCCTACCTTTTTTTAAAACGTTTTTTGTTTGTTTTAAAATAAGTCAGGAATTTGCCATTATTACCCATTAGATTTCCATGCATTTTTCCATCCAGAGTTGCTCAGTGAATACTAGTTGTTGAAGGATGTATTTGTTTCCTGGAGTGTCTCATGTCGTTTCAGTGCAGTTTTGATGTCTCCGGTGGGTTTGCAATCAGATGCTGTTTCATGTTTTGGCGTTCACACGTTTCAGACTTTGGTCAGTTTTCTGCTTACTCCAGACTGGTACAAACCTGTCAGCATTGAAATTAATGATTCATTTCAGGAAATGGACAATCCCTCCTAACTGATGGAGCTGTAGAGAACAAAGGATTGAAAATGATATGTTGTCTTGAAGCGAGGACATAGGTATTATTTTAAGATGTGTAAAAAACCAATTCATATATATGTGTTAGATCCAAAATAGTGGGCTAATTTAAACAGCGCTGCCTGCTTTAGATGAAGCAGTTTCAAGTTTGATTACAATTGTTGACCAAATGCCAAAAGATCTCAAGTTGGAATCCAATTTCAGAACATTTTAAATCAACACGTAAATGAAGTATGGGATCAGTTGTGACTTCATCTATAGAAAGCAAGCCGACTTGAGGCCTGAACTTTGGTCTATTGCTCTTCTTTTAATATGTGTGACACAAAACTTGACCTTTAGCTTTGTCAGTCTCATCATCTAGCATTGTGTCTCATTTATTCCAATGTTTTAAATCTGGTCATTAGCTTCTGTTCCAAAGTACAGTGTTTTCAATATTAAAGTTGTAAAACAAGTCAACAATGAGCTAAGACAGAAGTTGACAAACCAAAGTAAATAGCACTTTAACAATTGTGCATTTACCTATTTTTTTATAATTATCTCTTTGGGAGAATGACTATTAAAAAGACCATCTGTTCTAGTTTAGTGCAGGGTTACTATCTGCAGCATGTTATGGAAGATGCCCTTCAAAATGTCAGGCAGTTACAAGAAGAATTACAAACTCAAAACCAACTAAACGCATTTTGCACTTTAATAGTTCATCATTTGACCCTTCATTATTCCTTGAATATATTTCTTAATTTGCTCCTTTTATTTCTTATGATCATGCCATTGTACAGCATCGTGATTTAACAAAATAGCACTGTATAATGATTGCAGCACAGACAGAGATCACTCGGTCCATTGTCTGCAAAAGCATCTCTGCTCTTCCCAATCCTTGACATTTTATCATAGTCCTGAAGTCAATTCTCTTCACGTAATTAAATTGACTTTGAAAGCCATTTTTGAAAATACCTCCACCACCAACTCAGACAGTGCATTCCAATGTTAACCACTGGTTTTATGCTTTTTTTATATGATGTTGCCTTTTGGAATTTTTGCAATTCACTTTGAATTGTCACTCTCTGGTTCTCAACTCTTCCGCCAATGGAAATAGAGTCTCCCTATCTTCTCTATCCAGACCTCTTCTGGTTTTGGCAATCTTAATCCTTTACAATGCCAGGTTTTCCAATCTATCTGTGTAACTGAAATCTCTCATCCCTGGAACAATTTTCATGAATCTTTTTCTGCATCCTCTCCAAAGCTTTCAAGTCGTTCCTAAAATGTGATGACCAAGTTTGGATGCAATATTCCACCTGAGGCCAAACAAGTGTGACATAAAGGTCAGCTTAGCTTGTTTTTGTTTTAAATCTACCAACTTCACACCCTTGTAGACCAGCTATTCTCAGGGCACTCAATCATAAGTTTATTCTACAGGCTTTCCCACCTAAGCAGCACCTGGTTTCTCAATCTGATAGCTGCCTTGAGAAACCTGTAAAGAAGGTATGAAGGCAGCAGGGCAATCAGCTTGGTTTCCTGAGCTCAAAAGCTGCTCTCCTGCCATTCCCCACACTCGCCATCGTCACGGCTGCTCGCTCCCTCCCTCCTCCTAACATCCAACATGTGGACTTAGAATTGCTTAACCACTGGAAAGTTGTCTGTTCTAACTGAATACCCTAAACTCCTCCTGTTCAGTAACTGTAGGTGATAATCCACAAATCTATTGTAATAATGTCCTAAGCGTTGTATCTAATTTCCTTTATTCTTCATATCTCGGTTTGAACATTTGCGAAATGAAAAATAAAGTTTGCTACCAGTTTTAGAGATAGTTGCTAGCATTTAGATCAGTCTAAAATGCAGAAATACAAAGAACGTGACTTTTTTTCAGTTTAGTTTTGGAAAGGCTGATGTATCCTGGGAAAAGCATGTTCTTTTTTTTTTCACCAGTTTTGTATTTTTTGATTTAAAAAGATGCATTTTTGGCTGCTGTGATTGCGCAGACACTTTCCCTTCTGGTTTTGATCTTTGGCTTCAGATCTCAGCAATTTTTCATTTAAAAACTGCCAAATTATACCAGCACACAACAGTACCATTTTCAAATTAATCAGCATTGTACAATATACATTTTGGTGTTGGTAAAACTTCTCTGTTTGAATAATGAAAGCCAATTTTAGTTTTCTAGAAGTCAGCTTTACATGTGGATTTCTGAGCTTAATCCTAATTGGTAATCACTTTTCTCTCATCTGGTTACAGCTCTAATACTGGGTAAGCCTAATCAATTTTCTTCAATAGTTCGAGATTTTAGTTTTGTCTTGGCCTGCGACATGGCAACTGTCTCTTTAACTTACCTGGATTGCATAAGGTGGCTACATCACACTGGCAACATGAATGTTGGATTTTGGAAAGGTTACAAACTGTGTAATGAAGCTTCCTGGAGTATTTGGATAAAACTGAATCTATTTGCTTTTTGTGTGTGTGTTTTTTTTTAAGAAAAGGAAAGCAAATGCATTCTTTCAAAAAGAAACTATCCATTTGCAATCCTTTGCAACCTGAAGCCAGGCTTCCTCATAAACTCTGCACTTTTACTGATGACAGTAGAGCTGAATATCAGACCTTATAGTTTACCAGCCCTTCCGAAGGGCTGCCAGTACAAGATCCATAGCCTTGTGGTTCCCTGGTATGACCATACGCAAAGCTTTAACACTGTAGCGAGGCCACACAAATAGTCATCTCCAATTTCTGATTCAAGGAGTTAAAAAGAAATTCATCAATTCTCATTTAATTTGAAACTGTCTTCACAATTATTAACACCTTTTGTTTTGAGAACTGGGAATTGTAAAGAGAATAAACAGTTTTTTTTAAAAGGACTTGTAAAGTAGAAAGAGCAAGTTTCTAAGAACAATAAGAATAAAAGAAGGGCAATGCTGTACAGTTGTGTAAATGTCGCTATTCATAATTTTTTGTGTAGCATAGTGTAAAATAAATCAAACATGCTGAATGCAGTGTTAATCTGTGAATTGTAATTTAAGAAAGCCATGCATGGTCAATTATTTACTTCACAAATTGCTCATTATAGATAAGGGAGTTTGTTATCTGTTACTTTTGTGTGTCTGGAACTACATTTGTTGTGTATTTTTATTTTAAGGACATGAAACTACTGTTATTAAACCATTCACTCCACAGCCAACATATATACAGCCTTAGGAAGCCTTGTTGCTGCGTTAGCTAATACTAGTGGGAAGGAAAGTTTGTCTACTTTGTCCGTCTTTCCATCCATCTGCCATACTCCCTGCTCCACTAGTACCGCAATGTTCTCAGACTTACTTCCAGTGCCATTCAAAGTAAACCTGTGAAACTGGCTGCAAAACCTTGTATTTTAACTCTCAACACAACAGTTCAATAGCTTGCAACAACAGTACAGTGTACAAACATATTGAAATAAAGCTTTATTAAGCACACTTTGCCTGTGTACTGTGTTTTGTCAAGCTCAACAAATGGAAAGTTCAGAGGCAAGTGCACTCCTGTAGCATTGTATTTTCCAAGACTGGGTCTGCAGTTGACCTCTAAGCATTTTTACTTTTTCCTACCTAAAATGGTAATTCTACAATCCTACACTTCCAACAGTTCTCAAGCAGTACCCTGATTTTGGCTACAATATTGTAAGTTCATCTCCAACCATCAGTTGTGAGTGTAACTTGTAGGAGGAGTGCTGGCACAGGCTTGGAGGGCTGAAAGGCCTGTTCCTGCAGTGTTCTTGTTCTTTGTTCTTTGCATTGCAAAATGTCAGTCATTCTTTATTTTGATCTATTTGTCTGATTGATTTGAATGTTTTGAAGAACTTTGATCAGAAAACATTTATCACCCTCATAACCTTGGTGTATGTTTTGAAAGCTCAGATCTAACTGGTGTTTACAACCTTCACCCATCTATGGACAGAAAGTTTGAATTCCAAAGGTGAAGTGAGGGTGACTGGCCTTAAATGCAACATTTAACCAAGTTTTCCATTGAGGAACCCTATTGACCTTAGCAAAATGCAAGTTGATGGTTGATGTTGGAATTCTCAATACAAATAAAAATGGTTATGATGCTTTACAGGTTAGTCATCTCAACCCAAGGGCATCTGTGCAGGAGATCCCCAGGATAGTGCCCCTAGGCTCTACTGTCTTCAGCTGCTTCACCAGTAACCCACCCTACGTTATAAGGTCAGAAGTGAGAATGTTTGCTGATGATTTCAAAGTGTTCAACTTAATTGAACAATTTCTTCAATCAAAACAATTCCATTTGCAACTAGACAACATTGAGTTTGGTCTGATGGGTGGTAAATGCATTTGGATCATAAATACTAGGCAATGACTGACAAAGACCAACAAAATTAAATTTAACCAGCACTCCTTGATGTTCAGTGGCATTGCTTTCACTGAATATCCCACCACCATGTTTTTGGGGAGTGGGGTTTGGGGAAGTCACCTTTGGCCAGAAACATAACAAGACTAGCCAAATAAATAGGCTCCAAGAGAAAGAAGAGGCTGGGTAACCTCTTCTAACTCCCCAATGTCTTCCTACCACTTACAGGGCGCAAGTCAGCAATGCAATAGGATGCTTTCCACTTGTCTAGGTGAATGCACTCCAACAGCACTCCAGAAGCTCAACTCCAATCAGGACAAAGCACCCATCTGCCACATTAAATGTTGAAATCCTTAACCACCTTTATATTCATGAATATAACTTGCCTTCAAAAATGCCAATCATAGATGGAGAACCATCTGCCACCGCTGCAATGTGTGCTGCATTGTCTACCATCCACAAGATGCACTGTAGTGTCTGTCCAACAATTCTTTGAAGGCACTACTCAGCCTCCCTTACCTTGAAGGGCAGAGGTAATAGGTTAAAAACCAAAAGATCTGCAGATGCTGTAAATCAGGAACAAAAATAAAGTTGCTGGAAAAGCTCAGCAGGTCTGGCAGCATCTGTGGAAGAGAAAACAGAGTTAACGTTTCGGGTCCGTGACCCTTCCTCAGAACTTCCTCAGGTAATAGGTACATTAGCACATCATAATTTTCAAAGGTCTGCCTCCAAGATGATGCATGTTATTTTGATTTGGCAGTTGACACTGGACCATAATTAATCTTGGAAGCCCCAACACATCAACATGGGTAGGCATAGTTTAAAATGGGAGGTTGCCATAATCACTTCAAGGTATAGTTTGTAGGAGGAGTTAGAACTCGTTCGTAGAACATGGGTAATTTTATACAAGGAACACAGTAAATTATTGGAAGAAATGGATTAACAGATGGACAGAATTGGGGCACAATGTTTAGGAGGAACTTGGATAATATATCAGAATAACCGGGGCTAATTATAGAAGCTGCTTGGGATAATTTCACATTCCATGAATGAACTTTTAAAAATCTCAAAATGAATTAAAATTCACAAAAATGATGCCATTTGAGACCGGTGAGATTTTTCACTCCTTCCAAAAGCCAAGGTTTTATATAAAATTAGCTCGACTAGAGGAGTAACCTGTACCTTAATTTATTTTATACTTTGAAACCACTCCAACACTTGATTTCATTGTATGTGATGCATTAGTGCTTCTGTGATCTTGTCCTCCATCTATAGTTGACAGACATGAAGGCAAGTTTTATTCAAGAATTAACCTCCTAAATACTGCTATTATACTGTTTCTGCTTTACCTGAATAGATGTTTTTAATCACTCTGGGATATGGGCATTGCTAGCTGGGCAGCAAGTATTTCCCATCCCTAGTTACCCTGGAGAATCTGAGCTGCCTGCTTGAACTGCTACAGTTGATTTGGTTTAGATAGACCTACAATGCCATTATGGGATTTTGAACCAGTTACAAGTGAAAGAGCCGCAATATATTTCCAAGTCAGAATGGTGTGTGGCTTGGAGGAGAACTTGAAGAATATGGCGTTCCCAAGTTTCTGCTGCCCTTGTCCTTCTAGATAGAAGCAGCCTGAGTTTGGAAGGTGCTTTCTGATGGGTCTTTGTGAATTTTTGCAGCATGTCTTCTAGTCGGTATACGCTACTTCTGCTGAGCATCAATGATGGAGGGAGTGAATATTCAGGGGATGTGGTGCCAATCAAGTGTGCTGCTTGGTCCTGAATGGTGTCAAGCTCTTAAACTGTTATTGGAGCTGCATCTATCCTGAGGTGTGTTAGCCATATGTAGTATTCTGGATTTCACCAGACTCTCCTATGCTCCAGCTCAACACCATTTACATTGATTTTTATTTGTGTTACTGCTTGTCTAACATCCAGTGCTGGATGAGAAGAAATTTCCTTCATTGTAAATATTGAGAATACAAATATCTTGCCATATATTGACCACATGTCAATTTTGGGGTGTGTCATGGAGGAATTCCCTCCTTGAGCCCCAGCAACTTTTCTCAAGTAATTCTCAGTATCTCGCCTCATTAATTATACATCCTACCTCCGCAGCACTGTTCTTTATGCTATCTTGGACTGGGCAGTGGTGGTCAGCATTGCAGAGAACCTGTGGCTTTCTCACCGTGAGTGCCATACTTAAACTCCAGCTACACACCATTTCAAACTCTGCAAGCCAGGAACTGCCCTTGGTGTATTGTTGTGGAATTCCAAATGACATGGATGAGCGAAGCAGGTTGGCACTTTGCTTTGCCAACAAGGACTAGTATATACGATGCCCATCACCTCATTCTATATATTAATGCCTACTAACCAGAAAGTGGCCATGAAGCTTTTAACCTGTGGGAATCCATAATACCAAATCTAATGAGTCTTAAAGAACATCTGAAGCATAACTTGCAGAAGAGAGAAGATGGAGTGAGAACCGCCAGCCTGTAGTCAGAGAAAGGCAACAGTAACAGTACCAACTCTAGTCATTAACTGTTAAAATATCAACTAAAAATGTTCATGATTCCCACATTTCTTACATTTCTAAAACAGCTGAAGCTCGCTTTCAAATTAAAAACATATCACATTTTACATTAGTCAACTCCATCTCACAACTGTGTATATTCACTATTAAGGTTACATGGTCACCATGTTTTCTCTTAATAAACATTTGAAATGAATCTACTAATTCGAAACAGTTCAGCTACAAATGCATCTTCTCACTGTATCTATCCATTTATACTTGCTAACTTGTGTACAGAAAATGCTATTCTTCCACAAGGGGCTCACTGATGTAGCTTAGGAGATAAGGGGTTGTGTTGGTTTCTGTGGCTAGTTCCAAGGGCTGAATTGTTGAGGGGCTGGGTTCGAGCAGAGTGACACCAAGGGGTTTAAAGTCCACATGCAAAGCTCTCGCACATGAAGGCACTGAAAGCAACAGAAGGAAGTCAACTTCTTACCACTTGCATGAGTGAAAGTGATGTTTCAAGCAACATTAACTAACGTACAGCAGGCGGAACACAATATAATTTCAACGAGGCTTGAAAGCTTCTGATGATGAGGCTAAACCGCTCGATCTACAAAAATAAAATGCTGAATTTTGCATGGTCTTCTGATTTTATGATGGAGAATCCCTCCTTGAAATTCCAAATGTAAGTTGTAACACCCCCTAAAAATGATTGGCCTTAGCTGAGCTTAAACTACATTGCTTTTTGAGTTGCCATGTTTTTTGAATTATTATGAGTCATTCTGTTAAACTATGCCACCAGGTGTGTGCCAATAAGTATTTTCACTAAAATTGGCTCCTGGATCAGACTCTTGAGGCCATTTGCTAATAGCCTTCCATGAAAAGAAACATTTATCAGAATGAATGATTGCAAACCTAGATTAGGGCTTCTTCTTTTGAAATAGCTCCAGTGAACTGTTGCATCAAACACCAGGTTTGCTATGAAGCATTTGACTCGCTCACTGGAAAATATTAGAAGCTGCCACACACATTAAAGTTCCATTAAAGCCTTTGTAGAGCCAGGAATCTTTTGTTCTATCCTGGGAAGTGACGTAATGGCAAAACTTTTCTGGTATGTTGCATTTCTGGACTCGCCTTTTAAATTTTTTTTCACTTCAAACCAAAAAAGAATTTTCAAAACTTTCACAATTTGATCGGATTCCGCTGAAGAATCTGGATGTTAGAGAAATGTTAAGACTTTCCACAAAGTGTTTCCATGAACTCATTTTTGCTTTGGTGTTCTGTATTTTTGTGCAAAGTCGCAATAGGATCTGATTACTGAAAGCAAGCCCTTCTTGGATGGCGAAGGACATTAAAAAGGCAGTTCATGTGACCAGTGTAAACAAAAACTACTGCCGAACTTGGTTGTAGTTCTCTGGATCAGACAGATGGTTTTCTCAGTACACAATTCATCCAGGAAACCAGGTTTCTCACAGATGAAAGTGGAAATTCCTATCAAATTTCAGTGGGAAGTTAAGAGTGGGGGTGGCGTGGTGTTTTCAGTGGGGGAATTAGCTTGACATGAGAGCACTAGCGCTGTTAGATTTCCTCTGTTGTC